CCCATCTTGCTACCTGATTATTGGTTAATTTGTCCCACGTGTTCCCTCGTTACCCTCCTCATTTGCTCTCCATTTATTCTCCCTGTGTTTGCAGTCCTGGGTTGGTTCGTCACCCTATCTCCCTGGATGTGTCCTGTCTTGTCGTGTTGTGTCGAGATCCTGCCTTGCCTAGCCTTGCCAGCCTGTTTTTCCCCCACGGGGTAGTTTTTTGTTGTCTGTTTTGTTTTATTTTATTAATAAAGCCCTTATCTTCCCGCTCTATTGAGTCCTCGCTCCGTCCTTCATCCCCAACACTGACAATTTATATGTAGCACACACACATATGTATATATTTAAGAAATATTTCCACACACATATTTATATTTATACGATTTATATTATAAATAAATATCAATATATATTACAAATATTTTTTTAAATATATACATACACACATGTGCGTATGTTTATTTCTCCATATAAATATACACAGAAGACTTATTATGTAAACACAATCTATTATTATGGATGCAATTAATTGCGAATAATCGATTTGACAGCACTAAAATAAATAGATATAGGATTAGGTGATTGCTTTCTGTTTTGACAACACTCTCACTTTTGGATTAGACTAAGAATTTTAGCAATATAATTATACATTTCACTGGACTTTGGGGCCAGAACAACAGAAAAAAAAACACTTATTCAAAGACAAAAAATATTAAGAAAGTTGAGTTCAAATATGTTACAACAACTGGTAAAAAAAAAAAATAATGCTCTAATAATGCTCATAAAATAATGGGTCTAATAATGCTCATAACCTGTATACAAATGTCCTATTTCAGACACACACGGTGTCTGTACTGTTACTCACAAGTATGTATTTTTTTATTAAAATATGTTTCCAAGTGCTCTAACAAATGGCTACATCGTGGTTTGAAGAAATTGTTATTTTTCTATGCTGATTTCACAACAAAGCTCTGAAATGTTATGGAAGAATCATGGCTGAATATTGTCTTTATTCTCTAGACGGCATAAATGCTCCTACAGGAAAGACATTTTCTCAGCTGGTCGGCAACATTTAGTGCAGAATCGTCCAGTGGAGTTTCTTTAATTATAGGTGTGCGCAGTCAAGCCTGAGTCATTGTTCATTTGTAATATCGTATTTCATCACCAGAGGGAGCTGCACATTCTCTCCAGACTACAGTTATTTATAAAAGTAACTCCTCCCATTAGGACCGCCCCTTTCGTTTAGCCCCACCCCCTGCTTGCTCCACTCCAACTCCAAACTTCCCTGTGCGATTGATTTCCTTGTCTGTTTCTTTTCTGACAGATGCTGTTGAAATTTCCCATTCACATGTCCTCAGTTCCCCTTTTCGACACATCACGTCTCTTCTCTTCTTTCGCTGTTTCTGTGGCTCTGTCTGTTTCTCTGTTTAGCTGTAGGGAGGGACAGGAACCTCTTGTCCCTGTATTGTGGCCCACTTCCAGTCTTAATATAGCATCAAACACCCAGAACTTTCTAGACAACCAGTACACAAAATGTGTGAACAGAAACGCATGGCAGTGTGTTAGAAATAAAATAAAAGTGTTACACTGTGTATTGTATTATATTATTACCTATTTAATTTTGCTTAAAACTTTGCAGTATTTAAACTTTAGTTTAATTTTGTGTTGCATTTTTGCGTAATGTAGTAACGCAAAAAAATCCATCAACTGGCAGGAATATGATACTGATATTTGTGCAGTATGTAATCATTAGTGAGTTACTGTACCTCCACTCTGCTTTATTGTGCAGGAAAGTGTTGCACTCATCAGGTAAGTGACTGTCGTTCCACATGGACTCCAGCGTGGACAAGATGTGTTTGAACAGCGGCCTGTCCTACAACACCATCACAACAGCTTAATTAAAACCACAGAGCATTTCTGACACGCTCAACTCTTCTAAAACACTATAAACATTTATAAATTGATAACTGGCTCATGTGATCAATAAACAACACAACATCAAAACTCTCCCTATAGTGAAAAATCTAATGAAGCAGACTTTAGTATACTTTTAAAAAGAGTTCTTCTCATGGAAATAATATTAATTGCAATTAAGTTCAAATGTATCATAATTTCACGTTCTGTTAAACACAATTTGCTGAACTTTAGAGTGATTTAATGGCCCATCTGTAGGTAGGACTCAAGTACATCTTTATGTGTAATAATTACTTCTATTGTCTTTCAAATATGGTTAAAGTGCTGCTGAATGTACTGACAAGCCTTTATGATCAACTCAAATATGCTTTAATGTAATTTCTGTTAAACCTTGTATGTCACGTATTTAAATATATTTGTAATTACACATCTGTAAGGATGAAAACAGATCAAATGTAATATTGAATAACTCATTACATTCAGAAGTATAATCAAGGGTTTTACAAGTGCTTTATTATGTTAGTCAACACATCAAAATAAGTGTACTTCTTTAAAAAATGACAAAAGATCATTAAAACAATGTACTTTAAAGCAAAACTTTTAATTAGACATTATTACAAAGTTAATTAGCAAAATTGACAAAAGTGCACTTGAGTGTGTTAGTCATCTTTAACACTTAAGTGGCCTTTTTTCATTAATATTATAATATCTGAAGTACTGTTTTTAAAATGTACTTTTAAGGTTCGAAGTACACTACAAGTGCACTTTCAATTAAACTAATTGCACTTCTTTTTCACAAGGGCTTGTAAGGTTGACCCTACAGTCAGTAGGCCGTGACACATTAACAGCTTTTTCAATTAAACATTCGTAAGCTGTCATAAACTTAATGAACGGTAGAAACGTCCATATGATACTGTTTCTATACAGCTGTGTGCTATGATACTGTTCTGTACAGTGTGTGACGTCAACGCCAGCAAACGTGAATTTATGAAGCTCTCTAGAATGAGTGTGAGTGTTCAGAGGAGATGAAACTGAGACGGAGAAAACAAGCCCTGGAATTAACTTTGATTGGATGAATTAAAAATGTCAGAATAAGAGACATATTAATAAAGACAGCAGTTAACACCCTGACCAAACAGCATGTCTTATCTATTATTCATGCATTAATGCATTTCACCTTAACGCTTAGTAAATACCAGTCTACTTAAGCACTGCATAATTACTGTATTAGTATAGTATTAGTATACTGCAACATATTGCTAATGCTTTGTAATGTATGTAATTATCGTAGGTTCATTGTATGTTTGCATACAATTTATACTGTATTTGACTATAAAAAGAGTTGATTGACTTATCTCTTCAGGGGTCGTTCAAATCCTGAATGACTTTCTTTCTTCTGTGGAACATTCAAAAACATTCGGAACCAATATTTTGTTGGTAACCAATCACTTGTGGTAAGCTTCGACTTCTACTGTACGAACAAAACATTTCTTTAAAAATCTTCATGTTACACAGAAGAAATCAATTAATACAGGGTTGGAACACCAAAAGGGTGCATCAAATTAAAATTTGTATTATAAAGCGGATAGTTCCGGTCCTTGACTCTGATTGGTTGAGCCGCGTTCGAAGCTGTTGTAAATTACTCTACAAACATACACCTTTGTTTACGTCTGTGTGTTGTTCGGCAACCACTTTGTTGGAACCACAACTGTTTCTGAGGAACTACATTGTTTGGTGGAAGAATACTGTTTTTATTAATATCATTACACTTTATTTTGTGAAACCTAACTACGTATATGGAATAACCGTTTTATAAAAGCAATAAGCCCCGTGAAGCCATGGTTTACAGTGAATTTATAACAGCTAAGGGGTGTTTGCGGAGTGCCTAAAACCCCCTTAGCTGTTATAAATTCACTGTAAACCATGGCTTCACGGGGCTTATTGCTTTTATAAAACGGTTATTCCATATACGTAGTA